CGTTACAAGTGGCATCTTCTCTTCATACTAATATCCTTCTAGTTGTGTCCCCTGAAGTGTTTTGTCCTGTTGGCACCGTTATATGGCATTCTAGCGCCCCCTTTTGTGTCATRTCTGAGCATATCATTTTTTGTTAAAGGAAGGAATTTTTTTAAATACCTTTATTCTATTTATTCATTTGTATGTGGTGCTGAGGTTTGAACCAAGGGCCTCATATGTGCTAGGTAAGCACTCTACAGTTGAGCTATTGCCCCAGCCCCGAGCTTTGCATTTTTTAAATTAAGGGAGACCCCACCCCAAATCCTCATAGAAAATTTTGAAATCATAAAAAAGAAAAAAGGGAAAAGGATGAGACCCACAACACTACTACTCAATAACAATTACTTCAAAACTATTTAATTTTTGTTTTATGTACTTAATCATTTGTAGCATATACAGAGAAACTTGGGAAATGCCAATGAATACCAAGAAGAAAAAATTGAATCACATGTAAATTTATACTGTATATATAGATTTGTATCTTTATTTTAATTTTTTTAATTTAATTTTTTTTTAATTTTGGGGTACTTGAACCCAGGGGCATTTAACCACATCTCAGTACTTGACTATTCTATGTACATCATATAAGATAAATTCCACGACAGTTGTCCTTTTGTATCTGGTTTATTCGCTTAGCAGAATATCTTCAGGGCTGGTCCATGTTGTAGGCAGGATCCTGATTACTTTTCTCTCTTCATTTCTGCTATAATCCATATGGCTTTTAATGGCATCATCCATTCTACTGTGCCAGATGTGGGAGGATTCTCTGTTAAAAATGTCGTTTGATTCCTCTCCTTAATTCTGTTAGCTCTGTTTAACTCTCCAGCTGCCATCACTTAGATCTCTTCTTCAATTAAATAGACTAAGTTTTCTTCATTTCTTTACAAACGTTAGGTTGAAGTTGTATTGATCCTTGAGAATGTCTTCTTCTGGAAGAGTCCTTTGTCCTTTGGGCTCCTCTTTGAATAGGGGGTTGTTTTATCTGCCCCCACCCTGTGAATTCTTTTTTTTTTTTTTTTAAGTGAGAGTGAGATTGAGCTGGGGATGTGGCTCAAGCGGTAGCGCGGCCCGGGTTCGATCCTCAGCACCACATACAAACAAAGATGTTGTGTCCGCTGAAAACTAAAAAATAGATATTAAAATTCTCTCTCTCTCTCTCTTAAAAAAAAATAAAGTGAGAGACAGAGAGATAATTTTTAAATATTTATTTATTTATTTTTAGTTTTCTTTGTTTGTATGTGGTGCTGAGGATGGAACCTGGGCCCACGCATGCCAGGCCGAGTGSGCTTGAGCCACATTCCCAGCCCAACCCTGTGAATTATTGACTCACCCTGAGTGTTYACCTTGTTTCTTTTGCTGTTTCAAATGCAAACTGGCTGGCGGGCCGGATGTTGTCATCAGTTTGCAATCTCTGTTTAGTCATTTAGCTTCTCTGGTGAATAGAGGATATGACCTGAATTAATAGGTAGCTGAGGTCCCATTTTGGCTACGTTGTCTCAGCATGTTTTTCACAGGGAATCCAGTGAACTGTCTCCCGTGGAGGTATGCACAGATCCCTGGGAAGTGCTCTCCCCCATGAGACCTTTCCTTTTCTTCTCACAGACAAGTAGGTCATTCTGGTTGAAATCTCTGCCCTTACATGCAACACGGTACCCAAGGTTTTGATTTGATGGGTCATCTTCTGTTTATATAACTTAAATAAGTATGCTTAAATAACTTCCATCCACAGTTGCATAGATGATTTTCATCTTGTGATTTCTTTCCTCTGTGAAGGACAGCTATTTAATTCTTCAGAGTTCCAGAGTGCCTGAGTTCAAATGTCATCTCTGCCACCTTTAGCTGATATCCACATGCAGTTTATCTCACTTCTCTGGGCCACAGTTTTCTTTGAAATGGGGCTAGTAGTAATATCTGCTTCAGAAAGTTGATATGAGAGCAAATCTGACTTAAAGTAAGTTCTCAATAGTTGTTAGTCACTGTCATTACATTTCTTGTAGGGGTAAATGGGTGAATGTTCATCTTTTCACTATCTTTACAAGAAGCTCCACAGGATGAAATTCAATAATGTCGGAAAAGTCCAGGGCACGGTGCTTGACACATACAAATCCTCAAAACAATGGTAGAATGTTAAGTAATGAGTCTCCTGCACCTGTTTCCCAGGGAGAGGACAGGTACAGGGAGGAATGGAGGTGGAGAAGAGAAGACATCCCGGAGTTTGCCTTTGCTCTAGGCTAGATGGAGGTCCCTTTTCCTCTCTTCCAACACTTAGTGAGCATCCCTATATCTCACCATGTGCAAATCAATTGTGAGTAAGATCTTTCCAGGAGCTTGCAGCCTTATTGTTCTTTCAATACCTCCTTACCCACTTGGATTCTAAATATTGATAGGTAATTTTATTAGGCAGACAAAAGTCTGTGATCATACTCTTTAACACATTCCCTAAATTAAACCCAACAATAGTCATATAATCCTAGTTACTGAGAAGGACAGATGCACAATTCCAGCTTGGATAATCTCAAATTCCAGGCTTATGATAGCTAAAGTGTTAATTTCTTATGACTCTCAAGAAATTCTAAGAAAAATGTTGGATGCATAGCACATGTCAGTTACTCTCCCCAAGCTAAGCTGCCCACTTCACATATTTGGGCCGTGTTTCCTGCCTAGGACCCTTGCCACCAAAGGAGCAAACAAGTCTCCTGACTTGGGTACACCTTGTGTGTGATGGGGTGCTGCTGTGCACACCAAAGAGTCCTTCCAAACTGGTCTTTCAGTGGTGTGTTAGGATTTAGAGAGTTTCAAGGAACACATTTGTAGGAAACACATCTAAAAATGCAAAGTCAAAGGTGATTATTTTCTCCATTTCTCTCTAGGAGTGAATGGCCTTCCAGCTTGTCAGGTTGAAGTGCTGGGGGTGTAGCTCAGTGGCAGAGCATTTGTCTGGCATGCACAAGGCTCTGGATTCAATCCCCAGAACCAAAACAAACAAATAAAGTCAGGCATGCTGGTACGTGACTGCAATCCCAGTTATTCAGTAGGCTGAGGCAGGAGGACTGCAAGTTGGAGGGCAGCCTGGGCAACTTAGCAAGACCCTGTCTGAAAATACAAAAAATAAATAAAAAAGACTGGAGGTGTGGTTCAGTGGTAGAGAACCCTGGGTTTAATTCTGAGTACCAGGGGAAGAAAAAAAGAGAAGAAATAACAGTGGCTTGAAGAAGGAAAAATATGGATGGGCAGTCTAGGACTGCTTCGTCAGAGACCTGCTTCTTGATTTTTTTTAATATTTATTTTTTAGTTATAGGTGGACACAATATCCTTATTTCATTTTTATGCGGTGCTAAGGATTGAACCCAGGGCCTCACATGTGCTAGGCAAGCGCTCTACACTGAGCAACCCCATCCCTRCTTCTTGATTTTGTTGTCATTCTCAACCTGTATCTACTACCTCATGGCTCAAGATAGCTGCTTCAACTTGACCCATCCCATCTTCATTCCAGGCAGCAGGGAAGAAGAGGGAAAGTAGGACATGCACCTCCCATTAAAGATACTTCCTAAAAATTATACCAAACATTTCTACTTACCTCCTAGAACACAGTCACTGGCCACATCCAGCTGGAAGGGAGGCTTGGATATGCAGACTTTATATCACTTATCTTGCTAAAACTCAGGGGCTCTATTGAAGAAGAGATGAATATGGGGGAACAATGTGCAATCTCTGCCAGTCTTTCATCTCTACTTCTCTCCACAGATTGATTCTTTTCTCCTTCCTGTAGACGGGCCTACTCTATTCATAGTTTCTGACCATCACACTTTCTGGGATGGCCACAGTGTACACTCTTAGCTCCACCCACAAGCCTTCTTGGTTCCAAAGCAGCACATGATGTAGCTAGCTCGGTCCCCGGGTCTTAATTCCAAGTTTSTGGGAGAACAGTTGATTGGTCCTCAGCTCTGAGCCAATCACCTCTGGTGGGTATGGCAGGGCACTCCCTTTTAGAATGGGATGGAGCAATTCTCTGTTAGCCTGCTTTCCCTATGATCATGCCCCTTGCACTAGGTGCAAGTTGTCCTCTTGTCCTCAGGGCAAGGGTGCATTGTTGTTGTTGTTGTTGTTGTTGTTATTATTATTATTTTGGTTCTGGGGATTAAACCCATGGGCACTTTACCACTGAGCTATATCCCTAGTCCCTTTTATTTTTTTTTATTTTGAGATAGGATCTCACTAAATTGCTGAGGTTCTTGCTAAATTGCCCCAACTTGTCACACTCTCACCTCAGTCTCCTGAGTCACTGGGATTACAGGTGTGCTCCACCTCACCTGGCTAAGGGTGCATTTTCTTCACATACTTAACCCAGAACATAGCAACTACTTGGCATACTCCATATCTAATGTAAAATGAATAATCCAATTTAGTTTTTAACTACACAGGTTGAATGCTTGACAAATTTACAGAGTAAAAAAATAAAAAAGTGCCAGGGGCAGCCCAAGAACCAGGACTCCTGACTCCCAATGCCTGAAGGGACCTTCCAGAATGACCTGGTTAATTATGGTTTCTCTGCCTCATTGTTCAGCACTTGCATTGTGTGCACTCCTGCCTAAGACTGCAGAGACTCTCCCCAGACATGGCCCAGAGGGTCCTAGTCTARGGAACACTGGCTGCATGGCTCAGCCTTCCTACCAAAGCTTTGAGCTGAGCCCCTCTGCAGAGATCTCATCCTCACTCAGCCTTAGCCAAAGCTGCAGGGATGTTCAAGAGCTGGGCTGAGTAATGAGATAAAGGCCAGAAACCAGCTTCTGGGCCACCTTTCCCTGAGCTGCTTCCAGGGGAAGCCCAGCCATAGTAAAAAAGAGCTAATGCCTCCCCAACCACAACTGTCCTACTCCCCAGCCCCCAAGACCCTTCTTCCTTCCTCCTCCAAGTTCCTGCACCCTCACTGTCTTGTTCTCTCGTGCCATCTGTTTTCACAGGCCTCKAACCCTCTATGGCAATCCCGGGGCTCCACTGCTGTGTCTTCAGGAGGCCGTTTCCGGTGCCCATCTTGCAGGCATGAGGTGGTCCTGGATCGACACGGTGTGTATGGCCTGCAGCGAAACCTGCTAGTGGAGAACATTATAGACATTTATAAGCAGGAGTCTTCCCGGTAAGCTGTTAGGGACTCTTGCCTCTCACCTCTCACAAGATCAGGGCCAGGGACTCTGCCAAGGAACCCATCAGGGCCAGAAGGGAGGGAAGGGAACAATCAACTGCCTCTTCAGTTTAGAGAGGAGAGGCCCGGATCCACAGAGGGGAGGGACTTGGCCCAGATCATGCTGGGATGCCAGACTCTGATTCCCTGGTAGTACTTCTCCTTCACCCTCTCCTCTTGGGGTGGGGCTGGGAGTCTACCAGCAAGACTCTTGACCTTGCCAACCCTCRATGACTTCCTGTCCTATGGGACAGTCTTGCCCCCAGGAATAGAGACTTGTCTTGGATCCAGATCTCCTCTACCTCTTAGCYGCATCCCCTCCCCAAATTGACATGGAAACCACTCACCCACCCACAGCACGAGCTGCAGGGAGGTAATGGCAGTTGAGTGGAGACTCAACACTCTGGGCTCACCTCCCTGRCCCCTGACCCTCACTGCCACCCTGCTTGCTCCCCTCAAGGCCACTGCACTCCAAGGCTGAGCAGCACCTCATGTGTGAGGAACACGAGGAGGAGAAGATCAATATCTACTGCTTGAGCTGTGAAGTGCCTACCTGCTCTCTCTGCAAGGTCTTTGGTGCCCACAAGGACTGTGAGGTGGCTCCACTGCCCACCATTTACAAACGCCAGAAGGTATCAAGCAGGGAGGGGAGTTCGAGTGGGAGCTTAGGACAGGGTCAGCCTTTTCGCTCCACTTGCTTGTGCAGTCTAGCGGATCAGGCTAACGGCGCAGTTCTAGGCCTGATCCTGCTTGGCCCAGAGTAAGTTACTTGACCTCTCTGGACCTCACTTTCCTCAATTATAAAACAGAAAGTGGAAATACCTACTTTTGAGAGCTGTTATAAGCATAATATTAGATAATGGATGAAAACAGATTTCAGTGTGGTGGACTAGATATGCTCAAGGTCCCCTCCCTATCACACAACTAATTTCTGCATAAAGCATAATTTTAAAATTAGATTGGTTGGCACATAGGAAGTGAAAGGAACCTCCAAGTGGAGTGGGGCAGGGTGAGGAGGAGAGAGCCAGATGAAAACAGAGCCCTTGGCAGCCAGCAAAGACACCATTTCCCAGAGGGTCGATGCTGGCAGTGTCACTGAGCTTGACAGAAGAGGCGATGCCTTCAAATCTCTAAAAGGTGGGGGAACTGCCTCTAAGACTTCCAAGACCCCAGGTTAAACTGAAACCCTGGAGCTAACATCATCAGCTGYGCCACCTGGCCTTTGACAGGAGCAAATGCAAATTCTGCCTGGAGGAAAATATCCTCAATTTAGCACTTAGGTTTTGTTGATTAAAATCAACAAAATATTAGTTTAAAATTGAAGATACACAGAAGAATGTACTCCATGAGTGAAGTCAGCAGAAACAAAAATTATAATTCGGGGGGCTGGGGATGTGGCTCAAGCGGTAGCGCGCTCGCCTGGCGCGCGTGCGGCCAGGGTTCGATCCTCAGCACCACATACAAAGGAAGATGAAGATGTTGTGTCCGCCGAGAACTAAGAAAAATTAAATAAATGTTAAAATTCTCTCTCTCTCTCTGTCCCCCCCCCTCTCTCTCACTCTCTCTTTAAAAAAAAAATTATAATTCGGATGCTTGAGGAATTCAGATATTGGAATTATTTTTATAAAATATTTCGTAGTTGTTAATGGACCTTTATCTTATATGTGGTACTGAGAATYGAACCCAGTGCCTCACACATGCTAGGCAAGTGCTCTGCCACTGAACTACAACCCCAGGCCCAGATGTTGGAATTATTAAAGAATAAAAAGTCACTATGAAAAAATGCTTTTTAAAAGATGGGATATTTTTTAAAAGCAATTATAGAACATTAAAAGTGACCATGAGCACCAAATAGAACTTTTATAAATTAAGTTACAATTATTTAAATAAAACATTCAATGGATGAATTGAATGAAATTTCTCTGAAGAGAGAATTAATGAATATGATAAAAGGACTGAAAAAAACGACTATAATGTAGCACTGGGAGGTGAGAAGGTTGAGGATGAGAAGGCTTAGCATAAGTCTTATCAGATTCCCAGGATGAGATAATAAAGAGACTAGAGAAGAGGCAATATTATCTGAATGGATATCACAGAATTTTTTCAGAACTAATGGAAGACAAAAATCTACAGATTAAGCACCAAGTCAGTGCCTGGCACATGGCAATATTAGGAGAATGTTTATTCCTTTTTCATTTGGTGGTGGGTCTCTCCTCTCTACCTTCTTCCAGATTTCATAAAATGCGTCTCCATACCTCTTAAATAGTTTCAAGCCTCCTAGATCTTTGATGTAGAGAGTTCAGTCTTCTAGGCAGCACTGGCTGGGGGTGACAGGGGTATGACTGCAGGACAGGTTCTCCAGCTCTAAGAGCTGACCTTTGTGTGTGGTAGAGTGAGCTCAGCGATGGCATTGCAATGCTGGTGGCAGGAAACGACCGTGTGCAAGCAGTGATCACACAGATGGAGGAGGTGTGCCAGACCATTGAGGTGAGCCTGGGCTAGGGAGGGAGGAGAGGATGGAAAGTGGCTGGCCTGGAGACCTCAAGCTCCAAAGATAGTTTTTCCTCTCTGATTGCTGGTCAAATTGGCAAGACAGATTCTGGGCTCCTGGAAGTGGTGGAGTGTGCTTAGGCTGCTGGATTGAATCCCAGATCTGCTGCTCACTAGCTCTGTGACTTTGGCCCAGTTATTTAACTTATCTGTGCTTTGGTTTTGTTTTTAATTGCATAAAATAGTGACGATGATAATGATATACTGGCTGTCTCATTGGGTCTTTTTTTTTTTTTTTTTTTAATGGTGCTGGGGATTGAACCCAGGGACTTGTGCATGCAAAGCAAGCACTCTACCAATTGAGCTATATCCCCAGCCCCTGACTGGCACTTTTGTGAATTAAATGGAATAAAGCCAATCAAAACCAAGGCCAGGGATATAGATAGCACCCAGGGAAGCTACTTTGAGATGTCATGTTATCTAAAAGATCTGGGTTGGATACTGGCCATACCCCTAACTCAGGTATAGTCATGGTCAGGTCACTTTATTTCTTGGCTCTCTGTGAGTTCTGTTAAGTGGGGAGCAGACGAATATCCAGCTCTCTCAGCTATAGGTCCCAGCCACACCTTCCCTCATGCTCCGGGTCTTTCAGGACAACAGCCGCAGGCAGAAGCAGTTGCTAAACCAGAGGTTCGAGACCCTGTGCGCGGTGCTGGAGGAGCGTAAGGGCGAGCTCCTGCAAGCGCTGGCTCGGGAGCAGGAAGAGAAGCTGCAGCGCGTCCGCGGACTCATCCGTCAGTATGGAGATCACCTAGAGGCTTCCTCTAAACTGGTGGAGTCAGCCATCCAGTCCATGGAGGAGCCGCAGATGGCACTATACCTGCAGGTTGGCCCCTGGGGAAGGCGGCAGCCCGGCACAGTGGCTGAAGTCAGGGGGGCATTGGCACCTGGAAACCCAAATTCAGGTCTTATCTCTTGTACCTATTTGCCCCCATGAGCCTGGCCAGGTCACTCCCTCTGCGGTTGCTTTCGCCTAACGACTTGTGACATGCACTAAACGACTTGTGATATGCACTAAACGACTTGTGATATGCACTAAACGACTTGTGATATGYATTCCCACCTACCCTACAGGACTGTGGTAAGAATCAGAAACTGGGCTTTGCCGGGGCTAGCCCAGCACTTACTCTCACCCTCTTTTTTCTTCCCTGCAGCAGGCCAAGGAGCTGATCAATAAGTAAGTAGGCTCCGCGGGAAGGGAAAGGAAGTGGCCTAGCGGATTCCTCTGGCTCTGGGAGGGGCTAAGGGTACCTGGGCGTTGCCCGCTGAGCAGCTGTGGCCACCGCAGGGTCGGGACAATGTCGAAAGTGGAGCTAGCGGGACGGCCGGAGCCAGGCTATGAAAGCATGGAGCAATTTTCTGTGAGCGTGGAGCACGTGGCCGAAATGCTGAGGACCATCGACTTCCAGCCGGGTGAGGGAGCCAGGGAGGGAAGGAGGGACTGCACTTCCAGARCCTCAGTATGGGGGTGAAGTAATATGATGTCCAGAACAGCAAGGACTCCACCTCAATGGCTTTCTTTCCTCCCAGGCGCCGCTGGGGAAGAAGAGGATGAGGAGGTGGCGCTGGACGGGGACGAGGGCAGTGCAGGACCAGAGGAAGAGCGACTGGACGGGTCAGAAGGTGAGAGTGGCGCAGAGGGACTTGGTGCGTGGTCTGGCTGGCACTCTCATGTTCCGTCCTCTGGTGATTGCCTTCCCAGCCACATCAGGGCTCACCRACAGCCCCCAATAAAGTGCCATCTAATCCCAGTGCTACAAAAGAGCGCCCCCTAGCGTGAAGAAAATAACGCTCTTTCCTCCCATTCATTCTGGGGCTCTACGAGATCGGGTTGAGTTTGCAAGAAACCAACCCGGTGACTGGCGAAAGGCAGTGAGCCGAGCTTCGGGGCTACCATTGTTCTTGGAGTCACCCGCCCATCGAGCTTTCTTTGCCTGGCACAGGGCTGCACTGACCCGATCCCTAGTCGAGAGCCCACGCGCACGGAACCTGGCGCCAGCGTCCTGGAGTATCTGTACRGAGACCACCGCCGCCACCCACTTTGGCGCCAGGCGCCAGGGGAAGGCCTCAATAAAGGAATTTTGCGTCCCAGATGCGTATCTCGTTTCGCTGCCTACTCCCCCATTCAGGGCTCCGGAGGCGACTTCGCCACCAACGCGCCCTTCCCCGCCTGAGATCACTTGGGGGGCAAAAATGAAATGAACCTCTATTTGAGCACCTCCCTGATGCCCGACGCGGACTCGTGAGCCCAATGACCTGGGGTCGAGGGTAGCGTGGAGGTTGCGGGACCTCTGAATTTAGGAATTTGGGAGAGGGGGAGGTAATGGGACCCCTAGAGACTTGACTGAAAACAGTTCTCCCTGACCTTCTCCCCATCAAGATTGGGGCCTCTCCTGCCTCTCCCACGGATTCCCTGCTGTGCTTGCCCGAGCCCCCACGACAGGAGTCAAAGGCTCTTAAGCACTTTTATTAAAAAATAGACAAGCAGAGGTGCTCAGAGCGTCTCTGGGCCACTCTGCATCGCGGGACTGGGTTAGTTCCGGTCGCGCACCTTTCAGCCTCGGGGTGGGGGAAGGGGTCAAGGTTTTCGCAGTCCGGGACTGGGCGGATCACTTGCCCACAGAGTCGAATATGATGCGGTTTTGCTCCGCACGCTCACGTTGACTCTGCGTCCGGGCCAGCTCCAGCAGGGTCCGCAGCAGGTGGAATGTGAGGTCGATGGACAGTGGAGGGTCGTCGCGTCGCGGCCGCTCGCCTGCAGTCCGGGATCCCCATCGGGTGAGCCCAGTGCGGCGCGGGAAGCGCTCTGCCAGTAGCAAGAGAAGAGCGCGAGCCCCACCACCCTGGTTCCGCGCCCCGGCGCTCCATCGAAGACTCGGGTCCTGGACCTCGGTCCCAGCTGCAGCCGCCGGGCTCCACTGGCTGCCCCCGGGACGCAGCTGGGCCAGAAGCAGCAGCGCCACCAGCAGTGCTGCGCGTCCCGCTTGCTTCATGGTGCCACCGGCCCTAGACACACGGGTTGCGCAGGGTGAGGTGCGCCTGGGACAGCCGCAGGTGGTGTGACCCTTATCAGCGCATGCCTAGCATCCCCGCCAGGACCCTCCAGCTTCTGCCCAGTGCCCCAAGTCTGCCTCCCAGCCCCAGCCGCTGCGCCAATCCAGTTCCACCCCTCTCTCCCTTCTTCCCCGCCTCCCGGAGGGCCGCGGTTGGTGTGCTGAGCACTGAGTCTTGGTGCTCAGGCAATCTAGACGGTCGCTCCCTTCACTCACAGGTTATCGGAGAGTGTCTGCCTGATGCAAGACGGAGCTCCAGTCTCTGTCCCTCGGGCTGGACTGAGGGCTCCTTGGGGAGCACAGGGTCTGTCCCGGGACTGCCGCCAGCCTTATATAGCGCTAGGACAGCTCCGACTGACGTCAGCCAAGAACATGAACTGATTGTAGAAGCAATGACAGCAACTTTGAGTCCAGAGGTTTCGAGCCCCCAGAGCGGTACATTTCTTGACATTTGACTTAGTGTCCCTAGGGCTAGCACTGGAAGCAGCATTAGAATTGGAAGAGTGAGAAACCGGCTCCTGAAGTCTAGGCCATGAAGATTGCTCTACGACCCGAGTCCTTCTCCCTGTCTAGAACAGACAGCAGAGACTAGAGCTGGTTGCCACAWCAGACTAACCTGGGTTCCTGGCCTCTGGCACACAGAAGGGARGTGGGACCGTGGCGCTGTCTATGGTGCTGACCCTGTCTTTAGATGCGAAGAACTGTCAAGAAGCCTGGGGGAGAACTCTGGGATGCTCAGATCCAGTCCCTAGCCCATTATCAGGTTGTAGACTGGGGGAATCCAGAACCTATGCTGGCACTCAGCCAACACTATAGGCAGCCCGCCACAACTTAAGTATCCCCAGACTCTTGACCTTATTATAGTCCTGGAATCTAAATTCTACAGCTGTCTGAGCACCAAACACGAGGATTTCTGGCTGGGCCATTTGTTTCTGAGTTTCTTCAAAGTGGAAGTTTAACAAATACCAGTTTTTCTCCCAGAAATCATAACAGCAGTATTATGCCTTTGCCCCTGTAGTTAAGATCAGTAGGCAGGAAATAAGAAAATTGGGTTCAAGTTTTTATTCTGCCACTCTTGGACAGGTTACCTCACTTCCACAGACCTTAGCGTCTGCATTTGTAAAAGAAGACTTGGAGGATGTAGGCTTCTTTCCATCAATAGCTATTTTTATAGTTTTCTCCTGGGTCTTACTCCTGACCTCTGCACGTTCCAGATTATGTATTTAAAACATTTACTGAAGCACAATAAAGAGTTTGAAGGGATCCCAAAGAGCACTAGGGTTGGGAAGGGCTATAGTAACAGACATGTAAATGAAAAGTTGGCATGAGTGGGAATAAGACTATGTCGTGTGCCATAAACAATGTTTCAGTCAATGACAGACCACATACATAATGGTGACCCTATAAAATTGTAATGGAGTTGGAAACTCCTATCCTACCACCTAGTGACATGGTAACTGTTTTAACATCACAGCACAATGCATTAATCCTATGTTTGTAGTGATGCTGGTGGGAACAAACCTACTGCATCACCAGTTGCTTTAAAGTATAGCATGTATGACTTATGTGCAGCACATAAAACTTGATAATAATAATAAAGACAATATTACTGGTTTATGTATTTACTCTACTTTATCATTATTTTATGACTCAAAGTTTTTCTTGTTGTTGTCTTTTTGGTRCCAGGGATTTAACCCAGGGGTGCTTAACCACTGAATCACATTCCCAGCCCTTTTTATTTTTTGACACATGATTGCTTGCTAAAGTTGGCCTTGAACTCCTGCCTCAGCCTCCTGAGTTGTTGGGATTACAGGAATACACCACAGAACCTGGCTTTTCATTATTTTAGAGTCTTCTCTWATTTAGCAAAAAAACCTTTATGTGGTGTTAGACTTAGACGGGTAGCAATCCTCATACACCTCATATTTACCATGTCTCTTCTCTGCATCAAGAGGCCACATCAAGTGACTGATCTATACCACCTAGGTTTGTGTAAGTACACTCAATGATGTTTGCATGACAATGAAATTGCCTAATGATAGTTCTCAGAACGTACTGTTGATAAGCATTGCATGAATGTATTATAAAGGGCTAGTGATTTTCAGAAGCAATTTACAGTTTAAAATGAAATGTCCCATTTCAGAGTGCTCATCTCATCAAGTTCTGACCAGCACTTCCACCCCCATGGACATTGATATGACCATTTTGAGGAGACTGTCTGACAATCCCTGGATCATGGTGAATCACTGCAGGTGGCAATGATGAAGCAAGGCAGGCTAGAACTGATGTGCTTTCCACGACAGGTAGGAGTTCCAAATGACAGCAACACACTGGACAACAGCCAACCTAGGAACAGGAATGCATTGTGAGGAGGGAGACTAGGAAGCATGGAAGGGGGAGCAATGGAATAGGATAGGGAGAGTGCAAAGGAAAAGGAGGCAGCATTCTGAGAATTTCCAGATTTGAGTCTTCTTCCTCCAGCCCCTATGGAGGGACTACGTGGTGCAGACCAGAACTAGCTCAGATTCTCATTCTCTCCCAGGGCCCTGAATTCCAGATGAAGGTCTCAACAGTTAAGAACCCAGCAGTTCTTGTCAGGCACAAGTCTGTTATTCATAACCTGTCCAGGCCCCTTCAAAATACATTTATCTGTCCATCTTGTACCAACTGAGGAGATTCCACCTTCCAAAAAATTTGCTACCTGTGTATAAAATAGAACCTTTTCTTGTTTGCTTTTTGTAGTGCCAGGGATCAAACCCTTGTACACACTAGCCAAATGCTCTACTACTAAGCTACATCACCAGCCTTTTAAWTTTTTTTATTTTGAGACAGGGTCTTTTTAAGTTGCCCAGGCTGGCCTCAAGCTTGCAACCCTCCTGCCTCAGCCTTCCCAGTCACTAGGACCTTCTTTATTTTAACTTGACTTTGCTCTAGTTTCAAAGACTGCTGCAAAGGACACTTATGTTTAGAAATTGGTTTGTAAGTAGGTATTCCTTTAACTATGCTATTCATGAAAAATTTGACCATGTCTTCTCGGAAGAGTTTCAGAGTTTTTCTGTTTCCAAGATACCTCACCTGCAAGCATTTTTAACAACTCATTTTGAGTTCCACACTATTTTTTATTGTCTCTCAGCAAATGACCTTTATTATTAAAGCAAAATAATGCTTTGCAGTAAACTAACCTGGCAAAGCCTTTAGGTCTACCTTTCTGTCTAACCTAGGATGCAGCACCCCAGTGAGGCACTGTCTCTGCAGATATGCCATCAAAGGTGGAGAGCTCAGGTGGGATGGAGACAAGAGTTGTAGAAGCAGGATCCTCCATAGCAAGATGATAGAAGGTCAGTGGGGGACACTCTGGAACAGTTTCTGTAAAGGGCCAAAGGTTATGAATAAAATGCTTGGATGTCTGAAGAGTTATGACCAGAGCAAAGTATACTGGTGGAGRTCTAAAGGAGGTGAAGGTTGAAATGAGAATCATTTTTTTTCCAATTGTTGGTAACATGGATCTTCCCTGAAGGGTGGGGTGGGGGTCTGTCATACCTGTAATGCAGGGGGACTAGGTAGAAGTTGGCTAACTGCACAGCAGGCCAGAGCTACAAAAAGAGAAGGCAAAAGTTGAATGGCTCCCTCCCCGACAGGACTTCCAGACTCACTGCCTCACCTGGCCCTGCCCTGACTGCTGCACACAAGAAAAGACTGGAAGTTAGTGTTTCTCTGAGCATAGGGCCCGAAGGGGGAATGAATAATCCCAAGGGAAGGATTCCTATGCCAGGAGAACCCCAATCCCAGGGCATTTCTGGACTTAAGGGAGCAAGAAAACAGACAGAAGGGGTCAGTTCTTACATAGTAGTTGGTGAGGAGGGCATCAGGATAATCCTGAGGAGACAAAGAAGGAACAAATTCACACTTGTACCTCTAAGTGACTGCTACCCCCCCCCAACATGAATATCATATACAAACTTCTGTCCCAAGAGCACACCTCTAGCCCCACACTCCCTTCCTCTCCTGGCTCTCCCTGCCTCCACGTTTTCCTGGGGTTGCCAGCCTACTAGCCACAGACTCACTTACCCTCCGTAATTTGGCCCAATTATCCTGGGCTGACAGTCCATTGAGTGTCCCCATCAATGGGAGGAAGCAGCCTAAAAAACAYGGGGCAAACCCCCCCTAGGGAAGAGAAATTAAAGCTCTGTGAGTTACCCCATGTCCTAACCCAGCTCGGCCTTCCAAACACCCTTTTCCTTCACTCACCTGATCCAACAACATCTTCTTTAGCGCATCCACCTTGGTGGTGCCAGGGATGAGMCGGTCCAACACCTTGTACCAGCCTCCTAGTACAGGGGCCTGGAAGTCAACCCCAGTTGGGGCCGCAGGATGCAGTGAAGGGGCACTTGATTTTTATGCCACAATGTTCTTCCCCCAAGTATCAGAAACCAAATCTCAGGGGAAGCATACACTGAGACACTATGAAGGCTGCAGGCTGACCTAGGTGTGACAGGCCAAGGGAAACTACAGGATGRCAAAGAACTAGACCTCTAGTGAGTTCAGTGCAGCCTTGCTGTGGGCAGAACTTACCACAAAGCCACAGCCCAGGGACACCATGGTTAGGGTTCGGCCTGTCTGGTGTTCCTGCAGACCCCGCCTCTCCACCAGCTGCTGTGAGATAATGTCACCTAGGCCCATCAGGGACCCTGTGCAGGGTACACAGATGTTGTCAGGATAGCTCCAAAAATTTAAGTCTGCTGACAGAATGAGGCTCTGGCACTCTGAGCCCCAGGACTTCATTCTGGGCAAATGACTAGCCCCACCTGCTACCACAAAACCACCTGTTCTTCAAGAATGGTGACACCTCATGTATATCCTGAGTAGGCCAGAACCCAAGAACTCTGCACTGACAGGCAAAGGGAGGTCAAGTCAGGAAATAGCAGATAGAAGAAAGAGAATTTAAGGTCCTAGGACTGAAAATCATAGACAGAATTAAAAGGGCCTACTAGATCATTTCTTTTCCTTTCTTTCTCTTTTGGTACCAGGGATTGAACTCAAGGGCACTTAACCACTGAGCCACATCCCTAGTCCTTTTTTTAAAAAATATTTTTTAGTTGTAGATGGACACAATACCTTTATTTTGTTCATTTATTTTTATGTGGTGCTGAGGATCAAACCCAGTGCCTTGCATGTGCGAGGGAAGCGCTCTACTGCTGAGCCACAACCTCAGCTCCGTATCCCTAGTCCTTTTTATTTTTATTTTGAGACAGGATCTCACTGGGTTGCTTACAGACTCATTAAGTTGCTGAGGCTGGCTCTGAACCTCTGATCCTCCTGTCTCAGCTTCCTGAGTCACTGGGATTACAGGAATGTACTACCATGTCCAGCCTAAAAGATCATTTAATCCAAACTCCTTATTTTATTTAATACTTATCATTTGCTAAATTTAAACTGAGTTAAAATAACATTAATTTATTGTGTAAAGTTATTTTCATCTATATTTTTTATTTTAAAGTAAGTATTAGCAAAATGCAACATGGGAATATAAAATAAAAGCCACCCACCTCACAGTCACCTAATAAAACCCATCTGATCCCAAATCCATTATTTTAGAGGTAAAGAATCAAAGGTCTACGATCTCAAATAACCTGTAACTGAAGAGGCAAGCCAGAATGAGGAGGCTTGACTCCTAGACATATGTTCTTTCTAGGACACTGTACTACAAATAGATCATGTATAGAATAATAAAGAACCCTGTTTCTTTCTCCCTCTGCCCAATACAAGACTTAGCCCACAGCCTTTACCTTGGTCTTGGGATCTCTATTTGCAGAACACAGCAAGGATAACTCTTTTCTAAGACATTAGTGCTCAAATGGTCCTGGGTGGGAAAATGAYTGAACTGAAAGAGTTCCCAACAAGAAAGAGTCCTGGCCACCTTAGCACTGTCAAATCCAGACTTCCCCATTTGTACCCTCAGACTGAGTTGGCAATGGGTATTAGAGCCATTTCTCCCCAGGCCTCTGCTTCTGCTTCCCCCTTAATTATACAGACACTCAGATCCATGCAGCCCCAGTGAGACATCCACACTCAAAAACCAAGACAGAATCATCATTGTTTACAGAGCCCCCATCAGTTATGATGGTTTCTAGCAAACACACACTTATAGGGGCCGCTTGGGATTGACCATCTGATCTCCAGCTTGCCCAACTCTCTCACTGAGTAATGAAAGTCCCCTCCAGCCACAAAGCCACCACTGTCTCTATGCCCTCAATTAGCACTGGGCAAACACATCCTGCAACCCTGTTCCTTGGCCTGGAACTGGCTCTGACGTCCATGCTGGCTGCATGCTCAAGGCACTGCTCTTCTCTACCACCCTCTGCACAGCCCTGCCCTAGCAGCCTGGTCAGAGGCAACAGGGGAAAGCTGGGGGCTAGGGCTGGGGACAGGCATCCCTAGATGATCTGGGCTGCTGACCCCTGAATAGCTCTGGTCCCCAAGGTACAAACTATTTCAGATCAAGGCACCCCTGAAACTTTCAGTCATTCTTCCCAGAATACTGGTAGACATAACCTCCTCAAGTGCAAGCACAAAATCCTAGACACTTTTGTTTTCTTATTCCTCACCATACTTAACAGAATCCCTGGCAATTGTACAGAAATAAATAAAGGAAAAACATCAAAAGCATGATCCCAAACAACAGGAGTGCTCTGGGAAAAGGCATGAAGAATGTTGGACTCAAGGTGTAAAAATCACAGGGAAGTGAGGGCTTGCTCCCTGCTCTCAAGTAGTTAGCATTTAATTCACTATGTCTTCCCCCAATGTGGGGGCACTGGCTGTGCTCCCWGGAAGGACAGGGAGCTTCTGCAGCCATGCATAAAGGAAGAAGTGACCTTGGGAAGACCAAAGGCACTTCTTTAATGAAGGCACTAACAGTCTGACAGTGTACTTTGGCCAGATGGTTACAGATAACAATGAATGCTCACATAAATCTCACAAAAGGTCTGGAGGTAGAGGGAGCAGAATTGGGACAAATCCAGGCCAGGAGAGCAAGAAGGCCAGCATTCCAAGTAGAAGCTGAGACAAGCTTGGAGGTCAATGGGCAGCCATGGGCTCCTGTGGCTGCTCCTCTGCAGTGGTTCCTGTCCAAGCAAGGTCCCAAAGAGTTTACATATAAGAAATGCTTCCTAAATGAATGCATTTCCTATTCTTACTCTCCAATATTCAGCACCTTTGTTCCCTGTCACCTTGTAGGGAGGGCAGGCAGCAATGCTCCTGGGGAAAAAAAAATAGTTAAAGAGAGGTATATATTTCTACTCTTCATGACTTGCTGACAGTCATCTGACAAGCTAAAGGCAGAGTTGGAATGAAAGTCCAAGTTCCTGAGCTCATAATCATGGAAGCCCACAGCCATTGAGAAATATGGATTCTAGGCCCCAAACTGTGCACATCAAGCCCGAGGGACTACCAAGCGACATGRCAACAACAGGAATGAGTAGGCACAATGGCTGTACAGCCCCTGCCAGGTCTTTCAAATAGAACAGCACCCAGAAATTCATCCTCTGCCCACAGATGATCAGGGACTTGGACCTACCTACAGCAACTCCAGGATAGTCTAAGGCTTTTCCCAAACAAAGAGAAAGACCTACATTTATGGCTCAAGTGACCCTTTGAGCAGGAAGGAGTCAGATATTCAGATTCCTCATTTCATCCTTCCCAACCCAAAGCCCAAACAGACCCCAAACCCCAGGCTCTGGGAGACCCGAGACTATTTTGCTAGTTTTGAGCTTCTATGATCTGGCTCCCTGCTCCTTCGTCTTGGGATTTGGGACTAGAGGGCTGCAGGCACATAATGCCCAGAGCCCTGATGGGGCAGGGCAAGGGGCTGCTGGGCCGTGATGCCCAAATGCCAGAGCTGGGCACAGAGCCCAGCCTACAGATGCTGGTGCAGGTGTGACATCATGCCCTTGGGTAAGTGCCAGTTCTCATGCCGTCACTCCCTGCTAGAACCAGGGGAAGGAGGTAGGAGAGCCTATCTCTGGGCATAGATCTACTTGGACCCATCCCCTGCCCATTAGTAAAAAAGTCCCAACTTCCACACCTTCTTCCAAGGTATATTTTGTTCCTCCACTGGCTTTTGTGTGGAATCCTATGTACAAGAAAATAAAGCACTAATGGAAGATGAGAAGACAGAGGGACAGGAAGTAGCTTCTTGGAGTGAGAGAAAGTGTGCCCTCGAGCACAGGAGGCTGGGTTGGCAGATAGACACTACTGGCAGGGGGCCAGCAGTACTGCCCACTCAAAAGCTTCCCTAACTACCTCCCTGGCTGGGGTAGGGACTTGACCCTGGGTAGGACAGAGTACATCCTCTGGAATGGGTCTGAGGGCTCTCCTCACACCTGGCCTTAGCCCATCCTTCTGCTGGAAAACAAGACAAAGTGGATGGTTCTGATGCTTGCCAGATTTCTAAGCTCAGACCAGCTGGGACAGCACTCAGCATCCTAAGGACCCCATAGTCTCAAGTGCAGGGCAGTGCAGTAGGTAGTACTCTAGGTTCTAAAGACAGCCCTATAGTGACCATATAAGACCTCAGCACATGGCACTCCCTACTCTTGCCTTAATTTCCTCTTCTGTAATATTGTGGGTAGGAATGGTCTTTAAGGTCTGTTGAGCTCTCACATCCTGGCTTAAGTCAGACTTYAGGGAAACCAGGGTCTACAGGAGCTCAGATGCTCTCATAGTAGTACTAGGGTGGCCGAAGATGAACAGAACTGGGCCCYGGGCCCACTGGAGACTGGAAGGGCCCTCAAGAAAGGAAGGGATAAGGCTGACTCAGACTCTACAGAACATGCAGCCAACCTTTCCCTAGGCTGCCCTGTTCCTGACTCTGGCTTGGCCAAAACTGGTGTATTAGACACTTCCGTTGAACTATTTCAGATCTTGGCTCACTTATCACTTGGTCCAGCCATTACTGTAGTACAACCTAACAGACCCTTGCTTTGGGCTCATGCCATACCTGGGGACTCACTGTTAATGTCTTCAGTGACTATGCTTGTGTAACCTGGTAGTGGAAGGGGAGCTAACACTTCCTAAGGTGACACTTTGGCCAATGTGAGACTGGAGCTAGGGAATGAAGTTCTCTTCTTTTCTCCAAAAATGACTATTCATCCAGACAGTCCTAAGAAGCATTTCAAAGAGGTTCTTAGTTCCAAGAGATTGAGCCACAGTGAACAGAATAGTGGACAATTTAACCATATATCCTTATTCTGGTTCTCCCTCTTTTCCTCTGTGGGATTACTTCCTACTCCCTAACAAAGTACCTGCACATAAGTTTTCTGCTCTACTTTTTGGAAAACCAAGGCTAACATACTATTCATGAACAGATTTATGGCAACTGGGACAAACTCAACCCACTATAAAAAGAATGGCTTGTTGTGCTTGGGTTGACTCATAGAAAGGGTCAAACCCCTTGAGCCTTGAAGTCTRTTGTGGATTTTTAAAAGAATTTCCACATTGATAATCCTTACACTGACCCTGTGAAGTCCTAAATCCCTTAAGAAAAAAAAAAAAAAAACTCTGTGTTAAGGGCTAACTTTAAATAGATCAACTCAAGTTCTAAATGAGGAAACTGAGGCCCAGTGAAGTTTATTGGCTTGTGCTGATTAAAGCAGTTATAAAGTACTATGGTTCTGATTTTCATATCTTGGTCTTTTTAACTCCAATTCTGAAATCCGTTTTCCAGTGTGATGAGCTAGTCCATGGGACCTTAGGAACTAATTGTGCTGGGGTCCAAAAATGGCTCAGTAAGCTAAACCATCTTCATTTATAATTTGGTCCCAATATACCTAGCAGCAGTGATAGACTGAAAGTTTGGGGAAATTTAAGAAAAGTGCTAGGAAGCTTCAGATTGTTTCAGGAATGAGTTGTCAGCATAGATTCAGAAAGATTGAGGGTGTGAAGCCAAAGGACTCTAATATCAAAAGACCAGACCCTGTTCCACCACATTTTTGCATTTGGGACCCTTTTCAGCTTTAGCTCCTGTCCTTGTCAGCTGCAAATTCACTGGGTWTGGAAACACAAAGGCTATCATTCCCTCCCTCTCTATTCTTGATGACCACAAGGGGGAATCTTCTATCTGGCAGTTATGGGCCCTGAGGGAATTTGAGGCTGGGCAAAGGGCCCAGCGTGTCAGTTCCCATCACAGCCACACAGTCCAGCATGAGTCACCACACACGCAGCCAGGTGAGTCATGCAGGCTGATGGACACTCTGAGGACAGGACAAGAGGTCTTTGGGCACAGGAGGCTGAAGAGAGGCCCAAGGAGGGGCAAAAGAGTCCATCCATCTCTTGGTCAGTCACACAGAGAAGTTGCAAATTTTTGTTTGAGTAATAGGATACCAGTTCCATCTTAGCTTTCAGTAGTGCCCTATCCCTTCTAAAACTCTTTCTTCTCAGAATCCCACAGTCCTCACATAGGCAAGGCCTCATCTTACCCTGATCACTCTTTGCACTGCCTGATAATTTTCCCTTCTAAAGCTTATCTCTGAGTTATCTCCTTGCATTAGCTAATCTGCAGAAAGAAGATAGTAACAAATGTAGGGATATCCTTGGGTTACCTTCATGAAGTTGCTATCTAATCACTGGATTAGAGTAAAAAATCCTTGGTTAGAACAGTGTTTGGGGATATACACATAGGTAATAAACAGTAAGAAAAGCAAAAGAATGATATAAACAAAACTCAGAGTTCTCATGGAATATGTGAATTAGGGAGAGTGCCACAGGAGATGCCAAAGCTGAGTACTGATACAGGAGTGATCAGTTTTAGTACAATGTAAACTTCAAATGTATATATTTATTCTGGCGCATATTTCACAATAAAAATGCTAAGAAAAATAAACTGGAGTCTTGATATCAGCACTTACTGGGTATGTAATCTAATCTGGAGTCAAGTAATTCTAACTCTGAGCTTTGTGGAGCCCCTGTGGTACGATGCAYATGAAAGTGCTTTGCATTCTATAAAATGTTAAAGGAGGGGCTGGGATTGTGGCTCAGCTGTAGAGAGCTTGCCTAGCATGTGGGAGGCCTTGGGTTGGATCCTCAGCACCACATAAAAATAAATAAATAAAATAAAGATATTGTGTCCAGTTACAACCAAAAAATAAATATTAAAAAAAAATTTAGGGGCTGGGGATGTGGCTCAAGCGATAGCACACTCGCCTGGCATGCGTGCGGCCCAGGTTCAATCCTCAGCACCACATACAAAGATGTTGTGTCTGCTGAAAACTAAAAAATAAATATTAAAAAAAATTAAAAAAAATTTTTTTTAAATGTTAAAGTGAGTGTTTTAGGTTTCCAAGCGGGTTTTCCTGTAGCAATGTTTTTATCCTTGAGATCAACTGCTCAGCTTTTTGAGAACTTTCGTATCCTACTTTACAGGTAAGCCAAYTATACATAACCCGTTAGAATAGCTTTGGGGACAGAACAGATTGAGATGACAGTCAACACTTCCGGGAGGCTAAACAGAAGCAGGAAATAAGGGCAATACCTTGGAACGCACCCTTCTCCCTAATCAGCCWGCTCTGTTCCCACTTTGGTTCCCAGACACTCACCAGCCGTCAGGACCTGGACTTTCCACGGGTGAGCAGCCAGGGCCCTTTGGTACGCCCGCCAGAGTGCCATGCCTTCTGTCAAGTCAAGAGGAAAGGGTCACTCCCACTGCCCTACCCACGATGAGAAAGACACCTGACATTTCCCTCGCACCCACTCCCTCTTTCCACTTCTGATACATMGGGAATGGGCAGAGGCTTCCGGAGGGATGATTCCTGACAGTGTCGCCTTAGACAAGTGGAGAAGAGGCAGAYTGTGCAGCTATGGACACCTAGTGGCAGCCAGCCCTAGTTCTGAAACAGGGCTGGGTGGGTGTCTCCAGCCCCAGCCGAAACACTCAGAACAGGCTTTTTCCAGCTTTCACTTTGAGCCAGGGTCCTCCGAAAAGGAGACCCGACAGACTCCAGATTCAGACTTAATTGAATTTGCCCGCATTTCTCCCGGGTGCAATTCCAACTGAAAACAGGACCCATCGTTGCCTGGGCCTGGAATGGTCACGTGCCCTATGGGGCACTGCAGGTGCGCGGCGCTGGGAACCAGCGACTGTAGATCACCAGCCACTCACCTGAACCCTAGCTCTGCGCGCCGCAGGGCCTCCCGCGTGACCTGAGACGGCAACTTCCGCCGCAAGCACCGCCCCTTCCGCTTGGTGTCCTGTGAGCCCTCGCAGCAGGCGCAGGACTGGAATGTCACCGGGCCACGGAATCCCATGGAGAGCATCTCTGCTGGGTCACCCACTCTGTGAGCAACCCCCTCCGGGGAACAGCGCCGAGCGTTAGCATGGGGTTCGCCAGCCCTTCTGCCCACGAGGTTCGACCTCTGCCTGTCTCTCAAGCCCCGGCTTCTATGGGGTCTAGGGGGACCCCACTTTACCGCCCACAGGGCTTCCGCAGAGCTGGCCAAGGTCCTGACGTCCTTCTTAAATCTCAGGAGTGGTATTTTGGAAACAAGTATAGTTCAGTGCGAACGTGCGTTATTTTTTGTCTCTAGATTCTTCATTAGCCTAGCTCCTGAGTGGGGAGAACTAGAACTTGTTCAGATTTGTCGTCTTCATAACTAGTGGAGTGTTTTGATCACAAAGTCCCTTTTGGAAATGCTGCGTAAGGATGACTTCCATGGAAAGCACGGGAATTACAGAACTTCTGGAATGAATTTAGGTACTAACACGCCTTGATCTTTACTAGACTTGCACTTCAGTTTCATCATCTGTAAGAATGATGGGGTTACACTGTTTTTCAAACTGGGATCCTCAGTTCTAGGGGATGTTTGTGGAATGGGGGATGGGAGGAAGATTATCACTAGATTCTTCTACCTAAAATGTTTTGTTCTTCAAAATATATACTTCTGGAAAGTTATTTTTAACAAAGGGATTCATGACTATTTGGAAACCAATAGGGAAGGTGATCTTTTAATCCCCTTCCAGCTCTAACATTCTAAGATTTTGTGACAGTAGTGTAGAATTCTTCCTAGGGTGGTGGGAATTTCTACAGTATGCCTGGCAGGGAATTCAGCAGGCTGTGCCTTTGCTTATCTCCAGGTAGCTTACATTTCAGGAGGCAGACTTGCAAACTCTCTACCTGCCTACCTCCAGGCCCGGTTTACTCAATTCCTATGCAGGGGAATCCTCTCTCAAACACTGGAGAAACAGAATAAGGATGCAAGAAAACTCAATGTTACAAACATTTGACTAAAAGTTTCCTATATACAAAACACCATRGTAGATTGAGCTTACACTAGCAAATTTAATAGGAGACTAAATATGGTAGTTTGGGAAGTTATATTCTCAAGTCAGACTGAGTCAAAATCTCAGCACAAGTACTTTGTAGTTACATGTCTTGTTCAGATTGCTTAACCTCAGAAACTAATTTTTAAGTAAAACAGCAATACCAGACTGGGGTTGTAGCTCAGTAGTAGAGCACTTAGCTAGCATGTGTGAAGCACTGGATTTGACCCTCAGCACCACATAAYACAGCCATTAAAAACAAAAACAACAACAAAAAACAAACAACAACAAAACAGCAATACCTACCTTACAGGACAGAAATATGCCAAGTACCCAAAATATGAGTGCTTARCATTTATCTTTTTTCCTCCTTTCTTGGAAACACATGGGAAGAATATTTTTGTTTTTTTTTTTTAAACGGAAACTCCTTAGTGAGGGTGAAATTTCAACTTTTTTTTTTTTTTTCCAAGCCGTACTGGGGATTGAACCCAGGGCCTTGCACATTGCTTAACTCTTGCTCCACCCCCAGAGGTACACCCCTGAGCCAGGATCTTGAAGGATGAATAGATTAAGTTGGAGACAGAAATGACAGTACTAGAGAAGGCAATAATGTGAACAAAAACACGAAGATAGAAGGGTGCAGGAATGGAGTATAAACTATATATATTGAAAGGATAGGTTAGAAGTTAAGTGGCCTGGAGACAGTATTTATGGGAAAGAAAAAGATCAAGACCTGAAAGCATCATTCTTATTTTCTTTTGGAGGTTGAGATTAGGGCTGACACTCAACAGCAGGAGCAACTATGGCTGGCACCAACCTACAACCTAACTATATGTATCACCAGGTCCACACATTTTCTATTACTGGAAATAGAAAAGGGGCTGCTGAATGGCATCAAGAGGTTGCTCTGTAGAGCAAAGCTTCTCTTAGTGCAAGGCACTTTCCTGTCAGCTCAAAAAGCAAAACTGGTACAACTTGAGTTGGGTTACAATAGGAGGGTGCACGCTTGGTGCCTCTGCACTGATGTGAGTTATGATTCCTTGGCTGCTAAGGAACCTGGGTTTTCTGTTTTTCTTTTGTATAGGACAGGGACTGAATTACTCACTTGATTGCCTTCTTAAAGGTTTTCTGATATATGATAAATTGACTAAATTAAACAGGAAGAAATTTGTTCCCAGATATATGACCAGTTTGGAGCATCAGAGGTCTTTGTTTCAGGCAGACACTAAGCTCTACTCCCTCCAACAGGCTTCCCCCTCCCCATTCCTTTAGGTCATCTAACTACTTCCCTCCATCTGCTTCCCTCCAAACCACAGCCATTATTCCTATGCATCTTAAGTCTATGGTTTTCCTATTCTACCTTGCAGGGATCAATTTGTGCTTAGGAGGCAATATCATAGTCACTACAAGTCTACAGTATCCCACAAGAGGACTCAATATCAAGATAATACATTACTGTACTTATTATGTTCTAAACACTTCCTATAYGTAAAGTTTAAATAAACGTTTTTAATAAGTCAACAATGTGACCATATCATGAAGGATCAAGAATCATGACGTGTAAAAGAATGGTTGAAATAACTGAAGATATTTAATCTAGAGGAAAAATACTAGGGAAACACATGATAGCTATTGTTAAATACTTAAAAGGGCAATCACAGGGAAGAATGTCTAGATTTCCTAATACCCAAAAGTAAAATTAATAAGAGGTATACTCTGACTTGATATAAAGGAAGATTTTTAAAACACGACTGTCTAGGAGTGTTCAAGTAGGGTCAAGTGACCAATGATCAGGAATAGTTCATAAGCAGGAGCAAGTAAGAGCTAAGCCACTGTTCTACTGGTAGGGTGTTTGTGGTGTTCTCCAGTTAAAGAGGTACTATGAGCAGCTTCAGTCCAATAAATTACTGTCACTCCTCTTGGGCTTGTGTGTTGGTTACTCTAAAGAGGAAGTTTGGGAAGGCAGTAACATTGGATCCTCGAAGACAGACAGAAGCCTTCATGCAGATAAGTCTTTGTGATTCTCCAAACACCCACTCACAAGTGGTCTCAAAAACACCCAGTACCTTTACTTAGCTTTACCCACTTCACAATATGCTCAATATGAGCAATTGGACTCCCAAGCCTATGTTAGGCCTGAGTGTTACTTGTGAGCCATAGTTTTAGGCTTAAAAGCCTTTGTGGGGGGAGAGCCCCCCTGCCCGCAGGGGACTGTGACCATAGAAGTCAGTAGAAGGAGAGGGATCTAAGGAGTCCTGGGGAAGCAGGCCTAAAGGTCCAGTCCTAGTGCCATCACTGTCCAGGAAGGCCCCAGTTCCTATGGCTCTGCGCATGGAGGCCATTTGTTCTTGGCAGATTTCATTCCAAGGGTCYTGTGTGGACTAAGACTAAGGATTGGACAGAAGGCGATGACTGGCTGGAGGGAAGCTGGGCCCTTTAGTTGGGGAGGATGATTGGAACATAGCACTGAAGTGTGCTCGGCTTTCAAGCTGCATACGGTGGCCCAGTGGGGAGGTGAGTCCACGGACAAAATGGATCCGAACCAGCCCTGACTGCCCCCCAGATACCAGCCATCCATAGGAGTCCAGGTTTGGGCTGAAACGTACCTATATGAATAGAAAACAAGAGAGAGGCTCACAGGTGATGTTTTAGGGCAACTCTTAGCTCTGTAAGAAAAAAAAAAAGTCACAATCTGAGAAGGCAGGACTATAATGAGGTGGGAGAGGTAGGAATAAGAAGCCAATGAATGAGGTATGTCTACTATATTCCAGAGGAGGTTGCCAAAGCTACTTCTCCTCATTAACCATCTATATTGCCTTTTTATTTCCCATTTCATTGATCATAGACCCAAAGTTGGGGAAGAATGAGTGGAGGGTGGGGAAGATGAGACAAGGTTCTTACCTTATGAATAGCCTCGAGCTGCAACCTATCCAGGCACAGCTGAGAATGCCCTTCTCCTTCCTGCATGCGCAGCATTGGTTCTCTATGGAGCAAATTGTGGAAGGAACCCTGGGGATGGAAGTGGAACAGGAGAGAGCAAGCAGCTCCTTAATTTTGCATGTTTGTGATGGAACTCCTTAGGATTTCCTATTATACAAGGACTAAAGTTTTCTACCTTTTCTAATACTACACCCTATTTTCYTGGACTTGACTTACCAAATCTGTGTCTTGAAAGAGCAAATAGTGATGGTTGACAGTTTCAGCATAAGTTCGAGCTGTGGGAGGATTGGGGACCCCAGATAAAGCAGAAGAGTGGTCTTGACCTTCAGGACTGTCCTGATATGGCATCAGATCAGCTTTATATATAGGCTAAAAAGGAGACCATAAGATTAAGTTCTATAATGCTGAAGACAGAGCTGGCAGCAGTGGCACATGCCCATAATCCCAGCTACTCAGGAGGCTGAGGCAGGAGGACTACCAAATTTGAGGCTAATTTGATCAACTTGAAGAGACCYTGTTCAAAATCTTAAAAATTTAAAAAAGGGCTGTGAGGTAGTTCAGTGGTAGAGTGCTTATTTAGCATGTGTGAGGGCCTGGGCTCAATTCCCTGTACCAAAAAAAACAAAACCCCCCAAAATCTGAAGACAGAACAAAAGTAGAGGAAATTGGTTTGAGGCAGGAAAGTCTTAATAATGGAAAAAAGTAGTATATTTAAATATATGCTCAGCTGCAATAGAATAAAAAAGATTGGGGCTGGGGTTGTGGCTCAGCAGTAGAGCGCTCGCCTAGCACGTGTGAGGCCCTGGGTTCGATCCTCAGCACCACATAAAAATAAATAAACAAAATAAAGATATTGTGTCCAACTACAATTAAATAATAAATATTTTTTAAAAAAAGATTGTACATAATTCTGTGCCAAGACTTTCAGGGACAATGTCAGGGCTTGGAGACTAAGTACTAATTCGTATTCTACAAGGAATTGGGAGGGCAAGTGGTTAAGATCCAACAGATGGTGTTGCTGTTAGATGTTCATATACGTACAAATCTTCGCTCTGCAGGTCGCTTGACATTTATTGGGTTCGATGCCATATCAGGCAATATAGCTGCAATGAGCTCCCCAGATATATCTCCTGCAGCTATTGTCCCAAGCCAGTCAGATCCTGAAAGACTCTAATAAGAAGAGACAAATTTCATTAACTTACTCATTTCTATGAATTGATAATAAGTCTACAGTCAGAGGACAGAGAGAATGCAGAAACAAAACTGAGTTTACCATAACCCATGTCCCTGATGATACAGTTGCCATATATCTGAATTCTCCTTCTCCCCAAAACCACTGTCACTTCCTGACTACCACTAAGGAATAATAATAATGACTATCCTTCTGTGTAATGAAGACTGCAGAAGACAGGCTCACCCAAACAGTGCCTTTTCGAGGAGCTGTGAAGTAGGCCTTGAAGCCAAGATAACCAGCATCAATATAATGAATTCCACAAAGTCCATAACTGTATGAGAAAGAGAAATAAAATAAAACCTTCCTTTTTTAAGATTAGATTAATATCTTCTCAATTCCTTCCCAAAATCAAACTGCCTCAGCAAAGCAGCTCAACGTATCTCTCCCCACAACAATCTGGCATGCCATGCAGCCCAACCCTTAGGGTCTGGCCCCAGAGTTCTTCCTATCTCCATCTTGCCGTACGAGGCATAGCAGTTGTCCTGAGCCACAGTGACACCATTGTAGGGGACCAGCCAGGCTAGCTCTGTACTCAAGAAGCGCTTGATAGAATTGATTGGTTCATAAGGTCGTCGAAGGTCCCAGAATTTGATTTTCCGATCACTTCCCGCGGAGACTAGGAAATGACTGTAAAGATGGGAGAAAATCAAAGCTAAACAAACCTGGAAGAGTTAGCCTGCCACAGTTTTCATCTTCCCCCTCCACAGATCTTCTATTCTATACCTGTTAGCTTTGCACCACTGAAGTGTACGTACAGCTTGGTCATGGGCTAGGAAACACTGGAAGGGGTAGAGCTTTAAGGAGCCATCAGAGAGCCGTATTCGCTGAAGGGGCGAGTTAGTGGGAAGGTTCCAGAAAACCACCATGCCTGAAGTAGGAATAGAATGTGTAGGCATTAAAGGCACTTTCTCACTGCTTTGTTCTAATTTCTTTCTCTGGGGTCCTAGGACCCTGGTCCTCTAACCTCAGATGCAAACTGCAATAGAAGAATGTAAGGATCATGATAAGCTATTCAATACTCCCTCTATGGTTTAAAGACTCAGTCTGACATTTCTGTTGCAATTCTCATCAACAAAAAGTAATAGCATAGCCTGGAATCTGCAGTTGAAAGATAGGCTCAATGTTCTTAATAATCTCTACTGCCTATTAAATCAAAGTAAAGAGTTTTTTTTTTTTTTGGTTGTAACTAGACACAATGTCTTTATTTTATTTATTTATTTTTTATGTGGTGCTGAGGATCGAACCCAGGGCCTCCCACGTGCTAGGCAAGCACTCTACTGCTGAGCCACAATCCCAGCCCYAAGAGATTTTCTTTAAAACAAGCATAAATACTCTAGGAAAGGGTTGGTATATTAGAGCTCAGGGGTCAAATACAGCCGGCTGCCTGCCTGTTTTCCCTAACAGTTTTTTTTTTTTTTAATATTTTTTTTGTTGTAGTAGTTGCACACAATATCTTTATTTATTTATTTATTTTTATGTGGTACTGAGGATTGAACCCAGGGCCTTATATGTGGTAAGCGAGCGCTTTACCGCTGAGTCACAATCCTAGCCCCTTCCCTAACAGTTTTACTAGAACAGTCCCACCCATTAATACACCCAATGTCTATGGCTGATTCCATGTCATAATTTGCAGAGTTGAGTTTCTAACAATGGTCAGCCTGTTTACAAAGCCTATAATTATTACGACCTGAGTCTTTACAGAAAATATCTGCCAGCCAGGCATGGTGGTGCATGCCTGTAATCTCAGCAACTTGGGAGGCTGAGGCAGGAGGACAGCAAGTTCAAGGCCAGCCTTAGCAACTTAGCAGCCAAGAGCCTATCTCAAAATAAAAGAGCTGGGAATGTAGCTCAGTGGCAGAGTGCCCTGGGTTCAATCCCCAGGATATATATATATATATATATATATATATATATATATATACACACATATATACGTTTACATATATACATATATACATATATATACATATATGTATATATGAAAATTATCTGCCAACTCTGGTCTAAAACAAGAATAGACAAGGAGACAAAAGCAACAAAATGTGGAGGAAAAGAAAACAAACAGACAAACAGAAACTAATTTGGCAGACCCCAAATAAGCTGACCCTTGACAATGCTGGCAAGAGAGAAGGTACTCAAAAGTATAACTCTGATAAAAATAAAAGACAAAGAAATAAAAATCGTGAAAATAAAAACTGGGAAAAATATTGGTAATTAAAATCCATTTTATATGTAAACTCAGGGAATGTAGCACCCATGAATCTTTCTCAAGAAAAAATTGACAGTGATTTATAGGTAAGTAATAAAAATAATTCAATAATGACAGGGAGACAATCATTAAATCACTTAGGAATTAAGATACAGAATAGCATGAAGCAAATTCATTAACAACTTAAGAATACTTTCACAGAAGAAAAACAGAAGATGGAAAGAGGGATAGTAAAGGAAGTTCAGTGCTAATTTTCTTATCTTCCTAGAAGAAAGTATACTGAGGATGTCTGAATAGGAAATTGTTATTTAGAAACAGCTAATAATTCCAACTTAATGTTATTCATCATCTTTCTTCTTCTTTTTTATTTTTATTTTTTTGGTACTGGGGATTGACCCCAGAGTGCTTAACCACTGAGCCACATCCTCAGCCCTTTTTACATTTTACTTTGAGACTTGCTAAACTGCTGAGGTTGGCTTTGAACGCTCCATCTTCCTACCTCAGACCTCCAAGTTGCTGGGATTACAGCTATGTGCCACTGTGCCCAGTATTTTTTTTTTTTTTTAATCTTAAAAATAACTTTGAGGAACTAATGTCTCCTGTGGTGAAGAAAGATTTATTAGGAGTTAGCTAATCTTTCAGCTCAATTTCRGTGTCTTTTTTTTTTATGAACTGTAGTTAAATTTAATACCTTTAAATTTAAAGTAGCTTATATAGTATGAGCTCATTTTTTATAAAATCGTCTTTTAATCTTTGTATATGCATAAAGAACTGTATGAAATTATGTTCATCTACTCTTATTTTTTTCTGATTAGAAAAATTCTATTCATGGGGCTGGGGATGTGGCTCAAGCGGTAGCGCGCTCGCCTTGCATGCGTGCGGCCCG